AGCGAGAGAGAGGAGAAAAGTGCGCCCAAATTGTTTGCCGTGGATCAAGGCAAGCCGCCTTTTGCTTCACTTTCTTTATCTTAATTCCGACTTGAAAAGATATAATTATCTAGTTTGAACAGAGCTGCTATCAAATCCTTCTTTCGGCAGGGAAGGGGGAAGCTAGAGTGGGCTGCGGTGTTCTGAGCCGCTTGGTGGAGCCTGAGATAGCGAGTAATGAAGTTGTGGAGTCCTCAGATACAAAGGGCATTAACCTCATTAGCATGAAACCTTTTCTTCTAGCCATTGTGGGACTCTTTCAGACTCCTAATCCCCCCTATTTTCAAAGCTTGGTTTGTAATAAAGGTTTTAGGGCTTCCCCCCCCCCCCAAAGCTAATGGCATTCTCTGAAGATTTTATTGCTGTTACGCTACATAGGACGATTAATTCCCCCCCCCCTTCCGTCTCCTTTTTTTCCATCCTTTGCAGTTTAGGGGGGGGGATAATAATATAAAAAAAGAAGAGATCGCTCCCGCATCCTGCAAGGGAAAGTGAAAGCTGAAAATCAAGATGGGAAACAATTTCTAGTAAGAAATCCCCAACCTAGGAACTGGATAATATGTGACTTTTTATTTTATTTTTAAGACTGGGAGGAGATTTTAAGATGCCCAAACAAATCCTCTGCCTGATTTATTTCAAGCAACGTTTTCAAAGGGGAGGAGGGGCAAGATGAAGGGGGGGGAGTTTACCTAAGGAGTCAGACTGGTGCATCTGAAGTGGAAAGAGGCGCGGGGGGGGCGGATCTGGCAATCGGCGCCTCCTTCCCGTTTCTAAACTGCCGAGTGGAAAGTCATTCATTAGGATCGAAAAGACAGAAGAGGAATAAAAATAAAAAATAATAAAAAGAAAGGATCCGATCGGACCTTTTAAACCGAATTTCCATAGAGCCCGATAGTGCCAGCACGTGTGTGGAATGCTTAAACTGAACTTTTCAACTATGGATGTTTAACAAAGCTGGTATTTTCGCGACGGCATTGTAACTTCGCCTTATCACAGTGTAAAGGGTAGTCAGATTGTCCTAAATTATGTCCAACGAGCCCCCCTGGATCCACGGATTAAGAGATTAAAGGAGACCACTGGGCAATGGCTCCTCTTTCCCCTTCATATTCCTGGTATGATAATTGCCTAAACTGATTTGCACTTCCACAAAAAGTCTTTGTAGCTGGAACACTGCAGACGAGGCTTGTGCTGTCAATGGGAAGAAAACTGATTAATGCAGCCTATCAGGCTAAGGAGCAAATGAAGCATGAATTTGGAAAGGGGGGGGACCGACCTGGGGTACCCCCAGAAAGCCAGCTAGGGTTCTCGAGGATTAGGGGAAACTTTTCCCCCTTAGCTATTAAAGTCGGCGCCCCTCCATTCCCTTTAGAAAGCCTCCCCCTCTTGGAAAGCATAAACAATAACGCTGGAAAAATGCAAGCCTTGGTCGCCGTCTTTGTAGTCCCTCCCTAATGCAATGACTTGGTCCGATACTGTCCTTACACATCCAACCCAAGTACTTTACTTACGCGTAAAGATGTGTTAGGAGATGCCAGACTGAAATCAACCGAAGAGCACTGAATGTGTTTAAACCATTTGACTCGGAAGAAAAGGCTTATGATTTCAGATGGTCTTAATTTCTAGATCGGCAGCCTTACTTCGATTTCAAATCGAAGGGTCCACATTACACAACAATATACGGAACTTGGACTGAAAAGATGCCTGCCCTCCAACAGGTCACGAAGCCTCAAACACACGCTGCAGAGTAGATGGCCTTGTTTCTGTAGTTTTACTCTGGCTTAGAGCTAACTAAACCACCCTTTCTGCCAATAAGAAGCAACAAACCCGCGGTTGCCATTCACTGCAAGGAAAGGGCAGCCACTCTGGCTTCTCCGAAGAGTGTGACTTGTCTCATAAAACACGTGTGTGTTCAAAAAGTCTGTTTAGGTGTACACTTTTTAAAAAATAGGGGTACAGACAAACATGATCTCAGGAAAGCCCTGGCTTGTTGGTGAAAGGCCTTGGGAGGGGGGGGAGAATAAATTAAAAATTTATTCCCCTGTAAACCAAATGTCTGCTCCGAGATAGCCGGTGGCTGCACCCCGAACGGTGGGCTCCTGGCACAGGACGTCGGGTGGGGGGAAGAGGGAGGGGAGATTAACCTCTGGGGGAGGGAACGTTACTTAAAACCCTTAGGCCATAATGATAAATCTTTATTGACAAAATATTGACATTGAGATACTTCTTGGAAGTATATAGTGTGTTAGAATTCTAACAAATTAAAACACAGAACACAAAAATATTTACATTCTGGTAAAGAAGACATTAAGGAAACCTTTGTCATTTTTGTTTTTTAGTAGCTCTATCATTTGGAACATCACAATCAGTGCTTGAAATTTGTCCCCCATGGAAACGGGCCGGGATTGCGGTCCTTGCTAGAAAAGAGATCTTCAAGATCCCCGATCCTTCTGAAATCCTGCCAGGGAAGAGCCGCACCAACGGGAGCGGGAGGGGGGGCGGCGGGAGGGGTGAAGCAAATACCGAAGTGTTCGGATGAGGACTAGTTTCTTGCAATGTCTCTCTTTCTTCGCAGCAAAGTGATAAGGGTCCCCGCCCCCACCCTAACCCAATCCTTTTTCTTCAAAGGTTTACCATTTGGGGAAGCAAAAAATATATGTATATAGAATTTTGTTACCGCTACTTCATTGAGTGTTCACAACCACGTTGACGCCAGAAGTTATCATAAAAAGGTTTACAGACTGCACAGTTTCTCATCAAATAAATTTAAAAAGCACACAGAACCTGTCTCAGAGAAGAAAACGGGGGGATACAATTTATGTCTGCCTGTCTTTAGCAACCGGGTGTTCTTTTAAATTTTAAAAAAATCTCCCTTCTTCCCCCTCCCACAAGTTCTTTTAAAAAGCATGCAATTCAAGTTTCTGAAACAGGTGTGTAGATTTTGGCTGGGTGTGGAACTTTCTCTCCTAAGGCTCGAGAGAAAATGAGAATAATTCTGAGTCAGAATAAATCCCCTTTGTGAAATGCAAAATGTCCCGTTAAAGGTAATGTGGTGTGTGCCTGCCAGTGTCCTTTTTCTCTCTCTCCTTTTCCTTCTAAAATTTGGAGTGATTTGATTTTAAGCCTGTCAGTCATCTTGTCCCGGTGGTTTGGCTTTGATTGGCAGATTCCCCCCTCCCCTCCCCCCCTTTGTACCAGTGCTGGACCAGCAAGGCCACGGTTCGGCGTGACTTCGGGGCTGGCTGGCCGGCCGGCCCCCGCCCTCTCGAAAGGAGAAGCGCCGGTTCTGTCCCTCGCCCCGCCACGCCACTCACTTCCCTGGGGGCCCTGGGGAGGAGCCTCTGCAGACCTGCGCGGTTGGTGGGGAAAGTCTCGCCAGCGCCAGCAGCACGGGTGGGGGGGCGGCGGCGGCGGCTCGTGGGTCGCGACGGACGGGGCTTAATCGTCTGACGTGACGTCGATCTCCTCAGGGCTGGCTTGTTTGGTGGCGATTCTCCACCGGTTAATGTGATGAGTCCCCTTTTTCTTCTGTTGGGAGTCTGAGCCTTCCTCTTCCAACTTCTGCCGCTTGAACTTTGTCCGTCGGTTCTGAAACCAAACTTTTACCTACGGAGGGGAAATAGAGGCCGCCATTAGCCCCACGCAGGCCACTCGCAGGACCAGCGGCCCGGACTGATCCCTGCTGCCGTTTCCCCGCCCCTACCGAGGCTGCACTGTGCCTGAGCGCGTGTGTGTGTGTTGGGGAGGGGGGGGGACGACCAGGTGACCTGTAGCTGTCCTTGGCCCAGAGAGGGAGGGAGGGACGCCGCTTCCGAAGAGATCGCTCCCCCCCCCTCCCCAGGCCTCATGCAGCGGAGGTGCAGCTGGATCGCGGAGAGCAGGAGAGAGGCTGGAGCAGAGGCGCCCACGGAGCGGGTCGACGGGGCGCTTTCACCCACTATTTTTACCAGGGCTGCAGTCCTTAAAAGGCTGATATGAAAGTCAGGTTCCAGTCACAGTGAACACTTAAGAACCTTTCAAAGTGAAGGTACAGGATACCGGAGTGCCTCGCTTTGAAACAAACAGGACATTTGGGGGATCGAGAGGTATTTAGAGGCGGTTATTGAGCATGAACTTCCCTTCTTGTATACATAGTCACTTGGAAACTTAGTTTGGAGTAGGGGGCATGTAGCCCGAGTCTGTGTTTACTCAGGAGATGCTCCAGAGTTCAGTGGGGCTTACTGTCAGTACCCCTGCAACATAGCACTAAAGTCTTAGAATCGCAGCCTTTGAGCGCAGTGTGTGCCCATGTGCGGGTCACACGGACACACACACACACACAGAGAGAGAGAGAGAACTTGAATTCAAGACCATTAGGGTTAGGATCGCCTGCACGCTCACTTGGAAGCAAATTCTCCAGAAATCAATGCGATTTCCAGTCCTCTAGGGAAACAATGCCAAGATCAAAGCCAGTCGCATTGACTTTAGGGGGTCTAACTGCCTGGCTAGTCTACGGCTCAGTTAAGTCGCAGTAATTTGGGGTTTAAATCTAATCCTCGATTTTAAGCACAGTCCTTGGAAATATGTCCCCATTGATTTCAGCTCATGACCTACAGCATTTCACCCCGACTCTAAGCTAATGTGTGGCACGAGATGCCATATGAAATCAATACGGCCCAATCCGGAAAAAAACGTTCCGGATCATCGTGTCAGTCTATTTAAATGCAAGCACCTAGTCTCAGAGCCGCTGCGGATCGCATAGGAAAGCGGATTTTTAAATATAAACACGTGGACACGGAAATGGGCATCTAGTTAGACCACATAGACCATATAGAGGTGACAGACATTTACTCCAGAGTAGTCCTATTAAGGAGGGGACACGGAAATGGGCATCTAGTTAGACCATATAGAGGTGACAGACGTTTACTCCAGAGTAGTCCTATTAAGGAGAAAATGGTTGTACCTCCAGCCCGAAAGTACCCGGTCCTAAACACCTTTACACAGAAGCAAGTCCTGTTGATTTAAATCGAACTTACTTGCAAGGAAGTCTGCGTATCATAGCTCTTCAGCCTGATCTTTGACGCAGTTTTCTTGCAAAGGAGTCCCGTTGATTGCAGTACGCTATTAGAATCGGGATATGTGACTATTTTCCTACAGGTGTGCAAGTTATCCCTGTTCCTGAATACCCAAACCTTGAGTATGCCTATGTATACCTTGCTACCTATTTTGAAAGAAAGAAGCTGAATACCCGTGGGTCCAAAAGCACAGGCTTATTGTATATGTGGTTTGCCTATGTCTCGCATAGGATTATTCTGTGAGAAACATGTTCACACAATTAATATGCATAGTTATGCATGACAACATATGCTGCTAATATTCCGCCATAAAACGGAATGCCTTCAGCCTCTCATGCACGTATGAATCGTGTGACTCATTCAGCGGTGACAGTCCGTTCTCTCGAGTGTGGAATCCCATATAGTATCTTGCGTCGGAATGCACAAATACCTATTTTTAAGCTGGTCTCTGATTTTCACGTTAATTGTAACCTGGGGGGGGGGGGGGCTTCCGTATATATAGGAGAAGCTTATTACGAATTCTACAGTCAGTTTCAGTTTTCCGTACCTATCCTGTAACGGCCATGCTTATGTTTAAAAACAAAAACAACCACCCCAGAATCCAAACGTTGCATGTTTAACTCCGATGTATTTTCATATGACCAGTGTAATGTAATTCAGCGTCTGGATTGTTGCTATTCCAGCTGCAAAATTATTAGTTCACGCTCAGATCTCCTGAGCTGATTTTAAAAAGACGTTTAAACAATTCAGAAGGGGACACAGGGACTTCTAAAATTTCCTAAAGAACTCTTTCTGGTTCCAGGTTAACTTAGAAAAATCTTTTTCAGGGTGGAGGAGGGAACTATTCATACTTAATTAAGAACAATCAAAGGCTGAAAAGTGAAGACCTCTAAAATGGGATGGGGGGGTGTTTCCATTCCCTTAATTACGTAGCAGGTTCGAATTCTGCCTGCTCTCCCCCTCTTTTGTACCCGAGCGCCTCTTTCTTACCCACGGAACCCGAAAGAGCCATTTTCCCAGCGAAGATCTGGGGAGGGGGGGGCGACATTCCAAACGGGAAAGCCCTTCAAGTACTTTGGGGGGGGGGGGGAAGCCCCGGCGAATTTGCTTTGGGTCGCCTAAATCTGAATTAAACATAACCAGCTGACCCTGTCAGTCATTTAATTACAGATCTTATTGATCCCGAAATTATCTCCAAAGAGAGAGGCGCACACACACTCCTTGTTGTGACCAAAGGTAAACACGATTTTTTAAAAAAAGAAAAGAAAGAAGGCAGTTTCTGCTCTGATTCGGCCTGAAAATGCCTGATAAAGGCCTTGCACCGAAGGGGAAGGGGAGGGGACCGCAAATCCGAAAACGGGACTGGTTTAATCAGCTACTTTAACCCGCTTCGCTGCCTCCTCAGAAGCCCTTCGCTGCCAAACGCCCCTTTCCCCCCATCTCGGCGGCATTTTCATATTCACCCCCAAGTCTCCCATTTAAAGCGCCGAGCAGGGAACAAGGGGGGAGTTTAATTCGCTTTTCAGTTTGCTAATTGAGGGGGAGGACGGTTCACTTCTCCCCGCCGATCTCCAAAGGGGAGCCGGGGGCCTGACACCGCCACAATAGACCCCGACCAGCTTCGGAATCAAAACGGCACAAAGACCACCTTAAATAGTGCTTTTGCCGGTGGAAATCAGCCTGTGACCAGCCCCTTGTTCCGCGAACCTCATCAAAGTGGCGATCCATTTACTGAGGTTTTGTTCGGGGAGACATTTAAAACAAAAGGCCCGGCCTCTTTAATGCTGCCCCCCCCTCCGCCCCAAAGAAAGGCAGGAGAGGAGGGGGAACGGGGGGGAGAAAGTGTTACAACTTAATCCGACCAAAGAACGTTACTGTTTACTGGGAACTTTGAACTAAACTGTGCCTATCTCTCCCCCCCCCCAAAAAAAGACAGAGCCAGGCCCCGAAGCACAGGCCATCCGTAACCTCCCCAGCTTCCTGGAAACAAATAAATACGCTTGCAGATGTGTGAAAATCGGGAGATGCGAGCAAGAAGTCCTAACAAGGACAACAATCTTGAAATCGACAGCCAAACCAACCATCTGGTTCTAAACTGGCGGGCGGGCGCGCAGAGAGCAGCTGGACAACCTAACAAACGTCGCTTAAAGACGAATTTGATCTCTCTCTCACACACACACACACACAAACACACAGAGGCACTAGTAAGGTTAATACAATGGAACGTTCTCTCTGGCACACTCTTCAAGCCACCAAGCGCAGTCTCTCTCCTTTGGACAATTGTCAAACAACGCCAGTCTCCCAATCGGATTGCCTTCCTCGCCATCTTTTTGATGCAGCCCCCCTTCTCCCCCCCCTCCCCATCCTTATCATTGTATTCCACTGGCACGATTTGCTGGAGGGTCAGTGGGACACCCGCGCTTGGCATCGGCAGCACTTCCAAAACAGCAAGATGGTGCGGGCTTTCAAGGAAATACACCAACAACCCGCTTCATAACTCAGTTAAACCGGATTAGAGGCGGTTGAGCCTCCGATGCCCGTATATCTTGAACCGTCGCACGGAAACGCACCGGACTCCGCTTGCGGGGAAACCGGGGAGCCTGACTGCGGGTTTGGAAAGGCTTTCGCTTTACAGTCAAGTTCCGGAGGAGTCAACGGAGCTCACTTCCAAGAAACTATGTTCGAGACCAGGCTGCCTGTGAAACAACCCAAATACAATCACTTTGGGTGTAAATGGACAGCGGGATAGAGCTGTATGTATATTAAGGGGGAAAGGGAGATATCCTTTCGAATAAATATTTCTAAAATCAAACGGGGGGGGGTGTTTAGATCTCCCAGCTTTTCTCCTGGATTCAGGTTGTCTTCCGTTTCCCTCTAACTGGCTACGGGTGCTAGCGCTCAGGAGAAGCCCTTTCAGCAGCCTCCGCCTTTCCCCAGCCAGATTTGGCCCCCAATTAGAACAAACAGCTCTTTGCACGCCCCTCCCCCTTTCGAAACTGGCCGGCGACCCATCCCCAGAAAACGACCGAATCGCTTCGTGGACGGGAAAAAAACACACAGCAATTTGTGATTTTAAAACTCGTCAAATAAAAAAACAACAACGGAGCGCCTTAAAAACGAAGACAAGATTTAAATCCATTTGGCTTTTCCTGGCCTCGACATTTGGCCCGCCAGAGAGCAGCCCAGCCCGATCCAGGAAACCCTCCAACAACCAAGATGACACCTCCCTTGGAGATTACCTGACCCGTCCCGAGGGACGGAGCTCGGTAGGACAGGACGACAGTCTGGGGGTGGGGGTGGGGGAGGGACAGGGCCAGTCTTGGAAACGCCATTTCGAAAGATCTACTTGAAGAGCGGCGAATGAAGGACTCCGTGGCCTTTGCTCGGAAATGCCCGCCTTTTGTGGGGAATGCCCCCCTGCTTTTCAACAAGGAAGTCACCCGAGGAAGGAACCCGCCTAGCGTGTCGTGTCCCCCCCCCCCCTCCCTTTCTCAGGTGCACTCCCGGGCCCCCAACCAGGTTTGGGGAGGCTGCGGCTCTGCCCACGAGCAGCCAGCCCCTGCCCGCCTATTTACCTGAGTTTCTGTGAGGCTGAGGCTGTGCGCTAGCTGCTTCCTCTCGGCCCCGACGACGTAGTGATTTTTCTCAAACGCGTGCTCCAGTCTCAGCAGCTGAGATGGGGAGAAGGCGGTGCGGATCCGCTTAGGTTTCCGGGCGAGTGCATTGTGCAAGAGGAAGCTCTCCGGACTGGTTTCGTTGCCTGGATCGCGGGACAGAACACAGAGAGACACAGGCGCGCGTCAGGGACTGAGCCAAGCCTGGGGGGGGGGGCGGGGGCGAGAAGGGGGCACAAAGGGACTTTCCCGACGATCGTAAACTCCTCTCGGGCACCTTAAACTGGGGGATCAGACCCAGGGAGTCCAACGGCATGCTCGTTTTCTCCCCAGAAGCGAGGGGAAGAAGCAAACGTGCTCCGAGCAAGGCCAAGAACGAAACTCCCGTTGTCCCAGTAAAAGAAAGTGCCACGTCGGTTGTTTCTTTTCGGACGAGTGTGTATACCTACGGGTGTGAGTGTGCAAAATTAAGTTCAGGGGTGCACTCCGGATTATTGGGGGGGGCATTTCAATAAGGAAAGCAACCAATTCATTCGCCAGCAGCCCGAGCAACTTAATCCCCTCACTATTCAGCGGAGCTCACCAGGGAATCGGTCCCAGTCTTGGCGGAGAGGGTTGAGTTCGGAGGCCCATCGCTTTTGCTCAGGGAACCCCCCCCCAATCCACTTCTACCCGCTCTCCTTCGCACCCTGACCTGAGCAGACCCGATGCTTGCAAGAAAACCAAAACAGCAGCAGCCAGAAAATGTGGGGAAAAAATAACACCGCCAGTGTAGGACTGTGGTTACTTCTGCAATTGAAGCGATGCTTGGGCCCGCAGAAATTTCACGAAATAACAATAGTAATAATAAAAAGAAGCAACCAGCGAACCGGAAGGAAGCCTTCTCCCATAGACTGGGATTTGAACTTGAGAGAGAGAGAGAGAGAGGCTTACACTTTCCAGGTCAGGCACACACCAACAGAGAGAGAGGGAGCCCTCCGCGCCGCGGCTCTCCTCGCTCGTCAATTCCTGGACCCTCTGCCGGCCGGAGCCTTCCAAACCCCCCCCCCCCCGAATCGCTCTGCCTATTTTCGTGCTTTCGTTCTTTCACCGAGAGGCTGCTCTTTCCGCCAGGCGGGGCCGGCAGCAGGCAAAGCCCTGCTTCGCGCCGGTGCCCTTCAATAAGCTCTTCTTGACCGGGGATGACGGAGCGAACGAAACCCGTAATTTCCCATCGAGAGCCTGACGGTGATAATAACAGTAATAACTCCCTCGCTGCCTCCCCCCCCCCTCTTGGAAACCATTCCTGGGGTCCAATTTAAAAGAAATTGAGAATCAGGCTGTACCTGGCGCGTGGTTTCCCTGAAACATTTAATTTAAAAAGACGAGAACGACGAATTTTCCCATCGAATTTTAAATGCTTGGGACTGAAACCTCAAGGCCTGCCCTTCCCCCCCTCGGGCACACACAAACACACAGAGGGAAGGACAAATGTTCTCCGATTGATTGGCAGGGAGGAGATCCCCTTGATTGATCGCTGGCCGTATTTTTCTATCGTCCTTCAAAGGGCTTTTAAGCGTTTGGCCTCCCCAAAAGCGGGGAGCGAGAAAGTCCTCCCTGGCCAAATTGCGTCCTCTCACACCTGTGCTGAAAAAGGGGCCGAGAGCGGTCAGCGCCTACGAGCCACCGCAGTTCGTTCCTCTCTCGTAAGGCTCTTTCGCCCCTGTAAAAGCCGGGGGAAGTGAAATGGAGAAACTGGGGGGGGGGGTCCCCTTCCTCCAAACAAGTAGTTTTCAAAATCTTTCCAACGTTTTCTGGAGATCTTCCAGAGTGGGGGGAGAGAGAGAGAGACATGAGGAGGGATCGCAGCTCAGACTATTACTCGCAGCGTGACCCAAGCAGAAAATCCCATTCTCTCCAAAGGAATTACTCCCCAGTAAATTCCCATTGACATGAAAAGAGGACCTCAACTTTGGGAGTGTATCAGTCGGGTCCCTTGCAATCAGATTGACGACAAAGACGGGTTCCCCCCCCCCCCCCCCCCAGCAC